TATATATATATATATATATGTAACCTTAACAATGAAGGTTACAGTTTCTGTGAACTTATATATATATTGAAAATCCAAAATGCACATACAGTATTGTTTCAGCTTGCAGGCTTCAAAACCCACTAAAACAGGCTTTGTACCTACTAAAAATAAGAGAAATAATAGCATACTTAACTGTGGTTTCTCTGGCACTTTCAAGTATTCACAAAAAAAAGAAAAACACTGTTTTTAAAAAGGGGTTAGGGCAGCTTCCTTTAAAAAAGTTATGCTGAAAGCTGCTTCTCTCTCTAAAACTCTTCCTCCTTAAGTAACCCCAAAACCAGTCAATGCTTATTCTCTATAGAGATAAAATCTATTGAGTAACTGCCTAGATTTTCAAAAATGCACATCTGAATTTTGCTATTTGTAATTTACTACCCCTCCTATAGTATTGTTCTTTATTGTTTGTTTTTTGTTTGTTTGGTTTTTTTCCTATTTGAACTGCAAATCCTTCTGGTGCCAAAAGCTTTGCAGGAAGACTGACAGGAATAAATATTCCTTAGCTTTGTATATAGACAATGTATCTTAAATGACACAAATATGTTTACTGAAACTGTTTGAAAGACTTCACTTTGTTGTGGTTCAAGCATGTTTAATCAACTGAACTTTGTAGCACATTTTGTTGCTGTTTGATGGTTTTGTTTAGTTCCCCTGTGTGTGTGTGTGTGTGTGTGTGTGTGTGTAGGAAAAATGACACTTTGTACTTTACAAGTCTCAGAAGAATACTCAGGAAAATGACTGTACTGAGACCTTCATTTTATCTGCATTGAAACATTGAGCAGAGATTTCTTAGTTGTTTTAAAGAAAGTAGTTTCATTTTGCCACTAATAAAAGGTTAAATCTCTAGACCTTTGTCTCCTGGCAAAATTTTCTGTGACTACATATCTCTGAAGAAAATGATTTTCTATTAGACCTGAGCTGAAATTATGGTGAAATCAGTGGCAATAGAAATATTTCAAAACTATTTGCCCAAACAAACAAAATATGCAAAATTTCCAGAGAATTTATAAATTTTTTATTCTGCTGATGCAAAGTGTACTATACTCAGGGCTGCTATGATGTGAATATGAAACACTTTATTGAGATTAACAAATACTGAATACAGCTGGCAGTACATATTGTTATAGAATCTTCTGCTCATTTCTGATCTAAAGTAAATATTTGTAAGCCATTGGCAATGAAACCGGAGAAACTTAATTTAAAATTTTTGTAGAAATTGATTTGATTAACATTCATCTTGGTTGTTTCTTTGTGCTGCACAAGCTCTGACTTAAAATGTTTCATGGCTGTATGTCACATTAAACTTAAATAATTATTTTTAAACAGGTAGAATCTGTAATATTTTTAAAAAATCAATTTCTGAGGAGCAATTGCAAACAGCTGACAATTAGATTAGCTGTGAAGCAGCAGGAACCTCTGTTCCTCTGGCAAAGTTTATTGCTGGATCAGAAACGGGAAGGCTGTTTTATAAAACACCAAACTGATTATCGCACTGCAACTTCTTACACCACAGCAAAAAAGAGGCATCCAAAAAAGCGAAGCAAAGCAAATGCCTAATTTTAGCACGTGTGCATCTTTTCTGGTGTTTGCACTTCATCTTCTCCCAGCACACTGTTAGCTGAGATCCCAATGGCCACTCTCAGAGGCTTCCACGGATCACCTAGGCAGAGCCACGGCTGACCCAGCCTTGTGTTGGTGCCAGACCTGCTCTGAGGGAGAAGCAGGAATTTGGGACTTCCCCAAGCCCCTTCCCCCCAGCATGTCCAGAGCCACGTCATTCTGCAGCTCAAGAAGCTGCTGTGGTGGAGAGCTTGCAGTGCTTATGACCCTTTCAGAAGAGAGGACCCAACTCAGATTTTACACAGCAGAAATAACCACACCAGCTCTAAGCGAATGAGCATTCTGCAATTTCTTCCTGCAATAAATTCTAGTAGCTCCGAAAGTGTGAAACGCTATTTTCAGTATTAATGTAACATTGGAAATAGATGGGATTTTTTTACTTTGATAAATGGCATGTGCCCACCAATACACTTTTTTTTTCTTTTTTCCTGAAGGGAGGAACAGAACACAGGTAAATCCACCTGCTGCATCCCACCCTCTCCCTGCAAGTGGCACAAGCACCCTGCAGCCAGGGAGGGCTGTGACAACTTAAACCAGAGGTCCAGTGAGACCTGAATCCAGCCTCTGCTCACAGCTCCCAGTAGTTAATGCTTTCCCAAGGGACAATAGCAAAGAGTGTTGTTTTTCTCTGGAAATCTGGGTTATCAAGCCTTCCTGAACTGGAAGTTTCCTGCTGACAGCTGTATTAAATAACCATTGAGAGACTATTTGCTATGGATATATGTAATTCTTCCCATACCTGATTTAATTATATAACTTCTGCACACATTTTTGCAAGGAAGTGTACAATCTCATCCTATCTTGATTGATAGATTAAATTTGGCTATGACAGACTGTCTGTTTTTAGGAATGACACTGTGAAGACAATATGATCCTTTACTTGTGCAAACAGTTTCTGATTCTCTGCTTTTTTTCTACCTGTCTAGTTCAGTCTGGAAAAAATAATTTCTTTAATTCCTAAAAAAAAGAGAGCATTTCAGAGATTTCAGTGCAAGTGCAGAGCTAGGTTTTTATGCTGGTCTTTGGAAAAAAAGACCAAAACCACAACAAAATCAAACTTAAACAAAGAAAAATGTAACCATTCTATTGATCATGTCTGAGGTCAAACTCTACCTTATTTTTTTCTCATTTGCTCATAATGTTACATCTGTAATACTGAAATATTAAGGTGAGAAAAAAATGAGATCAAGCAAAATACTGATCCAAATATCTTATATGTCTAGTGATATATCAATGTCATAGTCACACTGTCTCCTGACATCTGCACTCACTTTGTGCTGCTTGTTTATCCAAGGGATTTTTTAATGCCTACATGTGGTGTTGCCCCTGTGGCTGAGTATTTGGTACCTAGCTCAGCAAATATATGCTCAGCACTTGGTGAGACTTTAAGTGACAAGTTCCTACTGCAGTTCTGAATGCACATCTACCAAAGCATCCTTTCAAAAGGAAGTGATTGACAGATTAACCCAGCAACTGCAGGAAAAATAGCCATATAAAATTGCCTGTCCTCTTCCAGGCAGGTAGATCTCCTCTGGCACCAGTGAGAGTGTATGCAGTTTATCAGTAAAAGGCCTCTATATTTTAAATGTTGCACATTTGATTGATGTTCAACTTATTCAAAATGCATTTTAGCTAAAATTAAAGATAGATCCATTGTAATTACATTTCAAACATGGTTCCTTTGCACTGGGTCAAGATTACTGGCTACTAAAACAGTAAGACCATACATTTTTGTCAGCACAGAAGACTGCAGCTTTCTCAGAAGAGGCAATCTTGGGCTAGATTTGAGATAGCATCCCTGGGAGACAGAGGAACCAGCCTTTATGTGGAGAAAGGCCAATTGCTGATCATTGAGCTTCCAGAGGTTTCACTGTGCTGATAAGCCACCAAGGAGCACCCAGCTGTCTGTCAAGCACCCTTAGCAAACTTAACCCAAATTAAGGACTTGGGTTTGAGTTTTTATGTGACCATATGAGCCTGTTAGATTAAATGGCTTTTTTTTTTTTCCAAGGCTCTTTCTACTAAAGGCTTTCAAATTCATTCAGTATGTCTGAAAGCGTGTCATAATTTGCCTCCTTTCTTGCTGTAAGCAGTGTAACTATGCTGAGGTAGGGAACTGGTCACCCCAGAGCTCCCAGCTGATCATCTATGCTCTTTATTCCCATGAATTATTGCATTGCTAATATTTCCCATAGTGACATTTGAAGTAACTACACTTTGATAAGTCAACATGTCATATAGAGAGGCCAGAGCCTACCTCTCCCCCAGATGACCCTTAAGGAAGAACAAAGGGGACAAAGGTCTGTGTGCACGGGGACAGCCAGGGATGTTCCACTGTGCAGGTGGATGGCTCACAGGAAGAAGCCTGGCTCATGAAGGAGGTGAGATAACTTTAATTATTCTACAATTACCTTCTAGATTTCACATGGAAATCAAACTCAGGGAAGAGAATTACTTGGCAGCAGTGTCAGTTTCCATATTGCTATATCCTTTGCAAAATTATTTAGGTTAATAGAACAGTTGCTGCCTGTGTCCAGGTGCTGCTGGTGAGGGGTAGTTTGTGGGGGAGAATTCTGTAGGAAAGGATTCTGGAGTTGTGCTGTGGCAGACACAGCCACTTCCAGCTGCTGAGGCAAAGCTGAGTGTGTCAGTGATGCTGATAAAACTTCTCTGGAATGTGTAAGAAAGGGCAAAAGATGGTGTTCAGCAACTGTGAGAGAGGAGTGAGAAAATGTGAGAGAAAGAACATAGAGAAGGAAGTCCAGGTGCCAGAGTAGATATTCACTTCAGAGTGCAGCTGGGTCTGTGTGGTCTCCCAAGGTCAGCCCACCCCAGCAGACCATCAGGGTGGAGGGAAATTCTTCTATTTCCCTGCATCTGGCAGACCCTCGTCAGCTTCATGTCATCTCCAGGTCTGAGCCCACAGGACCCAACCTTCCTATCCAAAAGAAACACTCCTCGATGGGCCTCTTCCAGGCCCACCATGGGCCCCGTGCCAAACACTGAGCCCCAAAAGACACAACTTTCCTCTTCATACCTCATTGAATATTCTCTTTCTTGTGTTTCACGTCCAGGAGAAAGATGGTGGAAGACCAGCCGCACCTATGCATTCAGATGTCAGAACCCAGTACAAATGGCATTCCCAGTAGAATGCAGCCCTTGCCAGACTTGTCTGGCAGGGTAGGAAGCGTGCTCACCTTCCACAACATCTACTACCGTGTGAAGATAAAGACTGGGTTCCTGTGTTTCCAAAAAACCACCGAAAAAGAAGTTTTGAGAGATGTCAAGTACGTATTTAAACATCTCTTTAGAGTACATGTAAGTTTTGTTTCTGTCCAGAGAGTTGACTTCACTCATGTCACTGAGCCATCCAGCACAATTTGCAGACCAAGATTTAGAAAAATTATTTGTATGTGTGGTTGCTTTGTGTTTACTGACAGCTGTGCTTAATTAAGCCCAGGTCCTCAGACCCTGGGCTGAGCCTGTACATCAGAGAGCAGACTTCCCTGGGCCCTGGGGTACAGTTCTTTTGGCTGATATCAGCGCCGGGCACAGCAGCCAGCTCTGCTTGCTCTACACTCCCTGGCAGTCCTCCCACTATGCCAGGGTGTTTAGCTGGGATACCAGCAGCCTGTCCTTCATGGTTGTCTCCTTCCCTTAGGTGGCCTTGGGAAAGGTTAATTTTTTGGGGGGTTTAACTTCAAATGTTTAACACATTAATATAAGTGAGGGTCAGGTTAACTTTGGGGAGTTGTAAAGGTTTCTGGATTTTGGCATTTTTTTTGTTGAGTTGTTTTGTGTTTTTTTTCCCCAATAGCGAGCACTACGGCAGTAAAGCAGTCATGTCACTATGGCCTTTGTTCAATAATCAGTGAATAAAACTTGCCCATTCATACTTCAGTAGTTAAACTCAGTGGCAAGGCATTGGCATGCAATATGCCATTCCAAGTCAACATGACTTTCAGCTCCCTAACTCCAATTTCTATCATATTCACCCTTTTTTTTTTTTTTCACCCTTTTGTGTAGCTCTGTCTATCATACTCTTTGCCCAGGAAATTCCCACACCTGCTAAACATGAGCTCTTAAATTTAGGCTTTATTGCTTTTCTCAAAAGCCATGTGTTGTGGTACCTCAGTTAACTTACATGGGTCATTTGTGACATTTTCTGTCTGACTTTTGAGTTTCATGGGGCTTTAATGTCAAATACAGAGAAATTATCAATTGCATTTTAAGTGCAGGCAAATCCCTAGTTTATTCTGCCCACAGGGACTATTATTTTCTCTGTTGAGAGAATACTACCTTTAGAACAGAGTATGGTTAAAGCGAGTGCTTCTCTTGCAGAGATCCATGTGGTAAAAATACATGTACAGATTTTGCTACATTTTAGTCACGTTTCTGTTCTGTCTTCATTATATGATTATTAGTTTTTCTTGAATTAGGAATAAAAAGTTAAGATGAAGTCTGATCTTAAATATTGCTTGTGATTAGGCAGCTTAATTAATTCCAAAATTAATGGCATGCAGAAAATAGTTGTACAGATAAGTTACACTGGCCTACCAGTTGGAACAGGCAAAGAAATAACCCCACCCTAACTACATGGTAAAACTTATCCATTTTGTCTTACAGTGGCATTATGAAACCAGGACTGAATGCAATTTTGGGACCCACTGGCAGTGGTAAATCTTCGTAAGTGCCCTCTTCACCCTCCACAGAAATTATACCAAGGGGAAAATGAAATTGTACACATTTAGCAGTAATGGACTTCTCTTTCAGAGAAAAATTGAGTTTTATTTAGGACTGTGCAAGTCTCTCTGTATTCTGAGAAATAATTGAATTCCAGAAGACAACCAGATTATATAAGAAAGGTGAAATACAGTTTTAGTCCATACTTTACTGAAAGTCACTCCTTACACACCATTCTGCTAATGTGTTACCAATTTGAGGGTAAACTCAAATTATTGAAGAAATGGACATGGACCTGCATGGATCTCATTTCCTTAGAAAACCAGGACAAAAGCAACTCAGTCCGTGAAAGTTGCTGGGGGTTTTCTAGATTGCAGACATTTAAATGTGATCTGTTTTTATGCAGCTGTTCGTTCCATGAGCTGGGTTTGAGGTTCAGAGAGCTTTGCCTCCTGCATGTTCATCTGACAAAGTAACCAACTTTTCCTTTAGGCTACTGGACATTTTGGCTGCAAGGAAGGATCCCCGCGGGCTCTCTGGTGACATTTTGATCAATGGAGCTCCTCAGCCTGCCAACTTTAAATGTACCTCTGGGTACGTAGTACAGGTAAGCAATTTTTATGACAGTGGATTCTATTGTAAGAAATTACTGCTGTGTTACAAACACCTTGCCTTGATCCAAGAATCGAGGAAAACTCCCTAAAATTACTTTCAGCCTGTTACAGAAAGGTGGTCTCTCAAACCTCGTGTAAAATAAATCTCCACTTCCCACAACTGACAGATTCCCTTTGCAACAGACAAGCAGATGGTATCTAAAAAACCTCCCCTCCTTCCTCCTTTGACAAAACAAGTTGGGAACACCATCACCCTAACCCACATGGGCCCAACCTCTCTTTACCTTCCCTCTTTTCTCCCTGTTCTTACCTGCGGTGGGCTGAGGCTGCACAGGCAAACACACTGATAATGACCTGAGCTGTAGCTGCTCCTTAGGTCCCTCCAGCCCTTGAGTCTCTTCCTCAACACCTCCAAAAGCTGAATAAGGTAAGAATACATAAGGGACTGTTTTTGATACTTTGCTGTTTATGTATTTTGATATCATGCATGATGGAGGCTGTTCCTGTGTGGCTTTGCTTTATGAATTAAGGCAAATATAATTACATGAATGAAATCCAAACTCTTCTATGACATGGCCATTGAAGATGCACCTTACTGCATGTTCTGGCTGCTGCTGCTGTCCCTCTGCATGCAAGGACAGAACAAAACATAGGTTGATATAGTTCTCAGAGGAATAAATAGAAATTGCTGAGCAACCACAAAGTATCTACCCTTTTTTTTTAATGAAGGACGATGTGGTCATGGGAACCCTGACTGTAAGAGAAAATCTGCAGTTCTCGGCAGCACTCCGCTTGCCAAAGTCAGTGAAGGAACAGGAAAAAAATGAACGAGTGAATCAGATAATCAAGGAGCTGGGTTTGAGCAAAGTGGCAGATTCCAAGGTAAGGCCTGTAAACATGTTACTTAAAATGTAATAAGTGGTTTATTAATTAACCAAATTGCTCATCATGGCAGATTAAAAAAAAAAGTAAATTTCAACCAGGTGTCTCAGTAATACGATAATTAGTGACATTTCTCTATGGAGACCTGTACAGACTGTGCAGATGCTGCCATATGGTACTACATTTCAGGGAAAAGGAAAGGGAAAGACAGAGGTGAAAGGGAAAGTTAGTGGTTGGAGAAAAGGACAAGACCTCAAATAATATTAACACTAAGAACAAGGCTGTGTGTGAGATAACATCTGCTACAAAAATTTACATCTGCTTCTGAGTGTAGGGCCAAAACTCCTTACAACTCTCCCCAAATACTGCCAGGTGGGTATGATACTGTTTGTTCAACAATTTGTCTTTGGGCCAAACAAGACAAGTTTCATGGTTTTTTATTAGGTTGGTACCCAGTTCTCTCGTGGGGTGTCTGGAGGAGAGCGGAAAAGGACCAATATTGGGATGGAGCTCATCACGGATCCTGCCATCTTGTTTTTGGATGAACCAACCACAGGACTTGATGCTAGCACTGCTAATGCTGTCCTACTGCTACTGAAAAGGTGATGGCCTTCCTGTTCTCAGCACTCCACTCTGCTAGACTTCACTTGTGTTTGACTCGAACTACAGTTCAAATGACCAAACAGGAAATTCAGACATGTAATTATTTACCAGTGAGCCAAGGATGCAAATGGGGCGGGAAAAAAACTGAATTAATTCTCTCTCTCCAAAATTAGAATTCTTTTCTCACACAGACACTGTAAATGTTACCTAAATATTTTCTTTTTTTTTTTTTTCCTTTCTTCTCCTTTCTCTGGCATACCAAGTTAATCAAACTTCATCAAGACTTAACTGAACTTTCAAATGCTCTTACCTAAATACTGAATCAACTTGCAAAGCTGATATCTCTGTCGCTCTTCACATTCAGGATGTCAAATCAAGGAAGGACAATCATCTTCTCCATCCATCAGCCTCGTTACTCCATATTCCGACTATTTGACAGCCTGACACTGCTGGCTGCAGGGAGACTGCTGTACCACGGCCCAGCCCAGCATGCCATTGAATACTTTCAATCCATTGGTGAGCACAACTTCCAGCAGGGACAACCTTTGGTTTGCACCAACTCAAGTGAAATGCCGATAGCTCTGGGCCAGAATTGGACATGGCATGTCCAAGCAAGTCCAGCATTTTAACAGGCTGAGCATTTCTCTGGGTGTGGTTTTGGGTGAGCTGTTCCTGGTACATCTTGATTAGAGAAAGCCTGGGCTAGGGCTGGGAAGAGCACGCTGCCAGCTGTCACCTCTCTTTGGGTGACAGTGCTGCCCGGCAGTGCCACTCATCCCTCAAGGAGGCATGGACTTTCCAAAGGCTGCCATGCCTTTGGTGCAGGCTGCTCCATGGGCAGGATATGTGGCTGTGCTTCTGACAGCCAAACACAGCCCTTGGCCAGTCACACAACCCCACCCAGGGCTCACAACACTGTCACCACAGTGTCACTGTCACCACAGGCTACCAGTGCGAGCCCTACAACAACCCTGCTGATTTTTTCCTGGATGTCATCAATGGAGACTCCACCGCCGTGGCAATGAACAAGGCTGATGAAAGTAACACAGGTATGAAACCCAGAGCTGAGTCCTTATCCTAACATGTGGGAATGGGATCTTAAGAAACTATTTTGGTAACTCTCAGCACACAGAAAGAGCTTCTTTCATCTTCAAGACAAACCAGCTGAAATCCTGCAGAAGCAGAGACGACAAACCAAGATAACTGATCCTGTTAAGGACATAATTTGATGCAGTTATGACTTGACTATTTTACTTAATGTAACAATTTCTCTGTTAGGAAATTACTGTTTGCCTTCCTCTGAGCAGGGTGAGAAGGGATAGACATAGGGTACCACTGCTCATCTGATGTTTCCCTGAAGTTGTGCTAAGGCAGAAATTGTCCCCAAACAAACAAATCAGTTCTCACCTAGTTTTTGGAGAACACTTTCTCATACTTTTCTGCTGCCACTCAGTAACAGCTTACTCTCTTTTCACAGGAGTGAAAAGACAAATGAAGTAATGAATACGCTGAGTGCCCAAACACAGTTTCACTATACATTTACCAAAGGACCACCCATCATTTCACAAAAATGCGCTGATCAGGGTCTAGCAAATATTATAGCTGGCAGATATGACAAACATATCTGTCATTGCAAAAGCTTACACTGTACCATAGTTAAGAAAAAAAAGAGATCCAGCTGAAATTTATATATGACCAAGGTAGACACATGCAGGGTTACCTGGATCTGAAAGTCTGGGAAGTCCAGGATTATGTCATTATCTGTGAAACAGATTACTTACAGAAATCTTTGGGGCAAAGGGGATGTAAAAATCACTTTTTGATTAAAAGCCATGTTGCTGCTAAGTTGCAACTCCCTGGGCCTGGTCAGAGAGCTGAGAGGCTGCTGCCTGTGGGAGAAGTTGCACAGACAAACACAGATTTTTTTGGTCTTATTTATACCAACTCTTTTGAGCTGTCTGCTATGGGACTGAGTGCAGTAAATCACTGGAACTACATGTGCATCTTAATTCTTCTGTTTTTTTAATCTTTCCAGCAGACAGCACTGAAGAATGCTCTGAATATGATAAGACATTGGCTGAGCAATTAGCAGAAAAATACTGCAACTCTGCCTACTACCGAGAAACAAAAGTACATTTAGAGAGCATTTCTTCAGGAAATAAAAAGAAAACCAAAGGACTTTTCCGGCAAATCACATATGCCAATTCCTTCCTCCACCAGCTGAAATGGGTGTCCAGGCGCACATTTAAAAACCTGATAGGAAACCCTCAGGCTTCCATAGCTCAGGTAAGGCTATTTGTATCCATGGTTTTGTGGTATACATTGAATTTATTTGGCTCCTGGATAATTAGATAAGTCACTGGGAGGGATGGTTTTGCCTCTTGATATTTTGACTGCAGTAAGCATCTGAAGAAAGAGTGCTCAAGGTCTAGGAATCTGGGGATAGAAGGTGTCCTGAATGCTCCCAAATGTGGGACTGTTCAGTAACTAATTTTAGACTACTGAAAGACTTTGAGAGGCAAGACCTGTCCCAGCAGGGTATTCTGCTGCTCCCACCCAGGAGCACATTATGTCCCAAGTAGTTTCACTCTTGTTTGCTCAAGAACATTCTTCAGATTTGACTCTAATTGTCCATGCTTGGCCCTGTGGGGTTTGGCCTCAAATCCTCAGGAAAAAATAACAGACTGCATTTGTATACTTCGTTAAACTTCAGCACAAAATGAAGTTCTGGCAGCTGGCCCAAGTGCAAAAATATTTTTGCAGTCTCATAAAGTGTGTGCTGTTTGGTTATTTGACTGTTCATATTGGTGATGATGTCTTCTGGATAAGGTGTCATGAAGTCCACAATGGGGATCAGCACCCACCATGAAAGATAATCACTGGCTCTGTTAGTGCTGCTTTTTCTGAAGGATCAGAACCAAAAGTGTTGACTCCTTCAAAGCTGCACTAATCCTTGGGAATCCCCTAATGCATGGGCCAAACTCTGCAGCCACAGCACCACCAAAACTCCCACTGCAATTCTCACCAGTTCTGGAGAGGCCAATAGAAAAGTCAGCCTGTAGCCTGGGGTATAAATTATCTTCATCATGTTTTATATAATGAGTGAATAAATGGCTAGTGTGGAGGTAAAACAAGTCCAGAATCCCTGAGGTTAAAAGTCTTTGAGCTAGTGTGTGTGCCTGTATGTTGATACTATGGAGATCCTTAATAATTGCTTTGTAAAAGCTTGACCTTGTGACAAGAATTAGGCCCTCAAGAACCTCCTTCATAGCCCAAGGTTAATGGTCCTGACTTGTTTCTCACAATCCTTTTTATCTCCCCACCCTCATTAGAGATGGATTTGTCCAACATTCTTTTAGAGGTCTGTGGCTCATTAAGCCTTCTTTTCATTAATCTGCTCCAAATTGGTCTTGAAATGATCCCTGCTTTCCACTGCAACTGGCTCAGGAGCTGAATTATCCCTGACTTTTGCTCCTTTCGGCAGGATCTTAGTGAGAAGGTACCAAGGATCAAGTAGTTTATGGTGTTAAGACTCATGCATTGCTCAGGCTTAAAAATGACAGAACTGCCTGATACCATTGTTTTCCTGAGATTTTTTTTTGGCAACTGCAATTAAGAACTAAAAAATATGATGCACACACTTCAGTCTTTTAAGTGACATCATTGCGGCAGCTGTTATCTCTGTTATTTAAATAATTTTTGTAATAAAGTTACAGACTGCAAATATCAGTATCCTTGTTGTAGCATCTCATTAAAAACAATCCCACGAGTAAGATGTATGGCAGAGCCCAGTAATTACACACTGCATGAGAATAAACTAGCATCCTCATCCTGGCAGTCAGGAAAACCTTTGAAGCAATGACAATGATACTTTCCCTCCTCTTTTCTCTTTTTCCCATTTAGCTTTGTATTACATCTTTTCTGGGACTGATTGTAGGTGCCATCTACTTCGGACTTGAAGAGAACTCTGCTGGACTACAGAACAGGTCAGTCAGTCTAGGTAATGGATATTCAAAAATTTGATAAAGCTCCCTTTAAAGGAGGTTCATACCTCTTTAAAGCAAACGCTTCCCTTCACATCAATAAGGCCAAACCTGTGTGACTTGGAAGTGAGGATGTGATTTTGTTCCTCGAGCAAGGTCCCTGCAGAACTGAGACCATTAAAGTATACAGACTTGTAGGTACGTAAACCTAGGTAACTAAAGTTGTAATCTTGCAACTGTTTCTATTCACACACTTGATTTTACCAGCAGTAGGAGATTTTCAAACTATGCTGCTCTATATATCATTTTGACAGCTGTATGTACCTGACCTGACACATGAGTTTGCCACTATGAAACCTCTGGGCTCTTAATCCCATAAGACTTCACAGCATTTGTTTATAAACAGCCCAGTTTTAAACTGAATAGGAAGTGCTTTGAATTTTTGTGGAAAATGTGAAAACTACTTCTCACACTGTTTACTTGGTTCCTCTTAGTTTGCAGCAGAAAAATGCCTCACTATCTGAGAATGTTTATGGTATCAGGAAATTACATCAAGAAAAAAAACCAAACCACAGTCCCTCAAAAGAAACCTCAGTTGATTTTCTATATTTTGACTGCATCAGAGAATGTGCTATCATTGCATGCCAAAACCAAATAATGACTGTACCACATCTATGTCAGGCTTGTTACAGCCTCAGACTCGTAGCCAAGACTTCTCCCATGGATTTTGGGATGGGAAGTCAAACACTGCCAAACTTCAGGCACTGCAAGTGGATTTTTGTATTTTTTTTTTCTATTGTGGAAATGCTGCATTTACATCTCATTTTAAATAACAGCTCACTGTTTTGCTATTTTGCAGAGTGGGTGCAATGTTCTTTCTGACCACCAACCAGTGTTTCAGCAGTGTCTCAGCTCTTGAACTCTTTGTTGTGGAAAAGAAGATATTTATGTAAGTAAAACATACAAAAAAATTACCAGACTGCTGTTAGACTGTGAGTTTGTCTGACATGCTGTAAATGTCATTTAAGTACAGTTAGTGCAGAATTTTCAAATTATTTCAATGATAGTCCTCATTGCAAATGTGCTCTGTTAGTCTGCCAGTGAGTTGTCTGCAAACCTCCCAAAAGGTACCTATGATTACAACCGGCTCAGAGTGTAATCTTATTGACACAGTAGGCAAAAAAAACCTTGAATAATCAGTTTTGGCATTGATTAATAAGTTTGTGACTCACTAGAGAGGGCAATAAATATAATCTAACTGGATTCTTTAAAGCTATGCGTATCATGCTGTATAAAATATGAAAATTATTCAAACTTTACACTCTATGTCTCAATGGCATGACAAATAAATTTACTAAAAATTATGTGCACAAATACCCACATTCACTGGCGTATGAAAATGTCACCAGTTCTGTAGTGCATAGGCTTACTGGACAGCTGCATTGTAGCCTAAGTATGAAAGATTTTCTTCCAGTTTGAGCTAGAATTCATTTGTCAAGAGGTGGAAATCAAACTGGCTAAAGTGGCTAAATTTGTAATGTGCTGTACCTATCTCTGTGTTCCAGACATGAATATATCAGTGGGTACTACAGAACATCTGTATACTTCATAGCAAAGCTAATGGCTGATTTAATACCCATAAGGACTATGCCCAGCATCATCTTCACCTGCATAGTTTACTTCATGCTAGGCAAGTATGGTCTCCTGCAGTCTCATTCTGACCCCCCCAGTAAATCATGGCACGTGCATCTTATAGATGTCTATGCATACATGGATATTTATATAAGCTAAATCTTTACACTGGTATGGCATTGGCTACTGAGCTTACTTTTAGCACACCATGTTGTTTTCTACAGAAAAGACACAAAGATTAAAGCATTCATCAGAGAATCTGTGACATGTCTCATATCCACTGTCCCTAGAGGAAGTCATAACCTTTACTACATAATTTTGATTTATTCCTTTTCATCTATGGCCTTCTTGGCTTTTGATGACTTTTACAAGATGCTTTTCTGATCCTTGCAAGAACACCTAAAAGCAAAGATTTTGTTTTAAGATCTTAATACTGTGAGAATTAATACCAGTTTATTTGCTTTGGTGTGAGTTTTTACCCTAAGGAATAGGAAACAAGGCCACATCAGCAAGAGGCTCTCAAATTGTGAAACTGGAGTGAAACAGACCTTGCTACTGAATCCATAACCACCTCAAGGCTGCTAGGCTCTTTAGGAGAGCCTGGAAACTGTGAAATGCTGTACAGCTGCTGCTCATGGAAGTGCACTAGAAATTTCTCCTTTGATGGACAACTTGCAGCCACTTTGGATGTGTGAAGTACAGTACTTCTACACATTCCACTATCTTCAGTCTTACTGCAGTTTTGGGCACACTACTTATTCATCCTCTCTTCCATTGTCAAGACAGACACATAAGGGCTGTCATAAGCACCACGTCAGTCTTGGGTCTCAGTGACACAGCCTGTGCTGGCAGACAAGGTGTAATTTTTAAGCAGGACACATTAGGAAACTCAGAATAGTGTTCAGATTATGGCAGAGCTTTCAGCAGCATAATTCTGAAACCCTTCTTGTTCTGATTTTTAAGGTTTGAAACCAACAGTACAAGCCTTCTTTACCATGATGTTCACTCTTATGATGGTGTCCTACACAGCCACTTCCATGGCACTTGCCATTGCAGCAGGACAGAGCGTGGTCGCTATAGCAAACCTATTCATGACTGTTGCATTTGTTTTTATGATTGTGAGTAGCACTTTTCAATTGTCTAGTCTGGATCATGAAACCCCAGAAATGCTGAAATCCAGAAATCCTACTAGCATGGAGTTCAGCTGAATTGTGCAAAAAGTCTATTGGGGTCAACATATCCTGATTTGTCTGATTTGAGTATCCTGATGCTGTGGGGTGGAGTATTCTGATTTGTCCTTTGAAAGAACAAGAAGTGAGGGGCTGGAGGGGTGGGTGTGAGGAGGAGAATGGTTCCTCTGACTTCTTCTCTGTGGCTCTAGCAGACAGAAAACTGCCTGGAAAGTAGGAAAGCCACTTAGGGCTACATATCATTCTCTCTCCCTTAACTTTGTGGAAGGCAAATGTTAAATGGATGAGAACATGACCTGCAGCCCTCTGTTTTCTGAGACCACTAGCCCAGCTGTCCTCCTCAGCTGCAGAGCCTACCTTGGGCATATTAAACTGGGCAACACACAGCCACAGTCAGGAGACAGGCACTTTAGATGAGGCAGAGCTGAACCTACAGCCAAAATCCACACTGCCTCGGACTCGGGACACACAGGCAAAACCCAGAGCAGTCTCACACTGAGGAGCAGCAGAGAGTTCATGTGAACCCATGTGGGACCCCTAGACAGGAAGCACGTAGGTCTACTGCACAGGGGAAAGCATTCCTTGTTACTTGTTTTGGGGGAAGGGCCTGAGGTTACGGACCAAAGCTCAATAACATACAAATCCTTCCTTTTGTTCTTCTGCTGGAAGAGTTTCTTCCTCCAGAAATGCTCTCCCATTCCTTTTTGTCTGAAAAAGCAAAGAGCTAGAGAAGGACACATGATAAAAGCATGTGAATTGTAATCTGTTTTTGTTTGTTATGGCTTTTTTTTGGTAAACATTGCCTCTAGATTTTCTCTGGGTTGCTGGTCAATCTTACAAGCATCATGTCCTGGCTCTCCTGGCTCAAATACTTCAGCATCCCTCGATATGGAATGACAGTAAGTGATCTGATTTCCTGTGTACAAACCTGGAAATGGTTTGCTAGAAAGGAATGTCTTTAATCATGATAAAGAAATCTTCACACTTGATGGCCTAATGAGCAAAAGGAAAGCTAATTAAGTAAAACAACCTCTGAGTGTTGTGCAGTATCTTGAAACAAGAATGGCTTCTCATCACCTAGCACCAGCTGCTGTTTAGAAGAGCTCATTTCTGTAATTTGGAAACACCTCATATGAGAGACACTACTACATTCACTGGACCTCAGCTGGACAGAAATGTTTCAAAGTAAAGAACAATGTTACTCCCACCCAAAAAAGTAAAAATCTTCTATTTGGCTTTTCCATCAATCAAACAAAAACTTGTCAGGCTAAAGCTTTTCTCCTTATTTGTGAAAATTTAAGCCAGACTGATGTTTTGCAGAGAAATTTGGGGTTTACTGTGCCTGTGCAGAAATGGTCTGGCCTGGGGGAAGTGGTAAAGCATGTAGTAGTGCATGCTTTACCAGGTGTGTACAGACTATATACATTCCTCTCTTAAAAGAAAAAAAAAGAACTCTGCTACTCTGCTAAAAAATGGGGATTTGGCAAATAAAATAGGGATACCAGGACATTTTTAGAATGAATTTTAATTGCATTGTATCTCATCTTGTTAATGTATTACTCATTTACCTACTAATTTCTGTTGTCATTGTTTCTTTTGCTTTAAAAGGCTTTACAGATCAATGAGTTGACTGATCTGAACTTCTGTGGCAGCAGTAATAACACAGTTTTAAGCAGTGGCAGTAGCTATCGACAGACAGGCCAGATGTAAGTATTTTGGTACACTGAACTGAATCCCACCATCAGCAGCTTTAGAAGTCCTAGAACATCAGTCTGAGTATCAGAGATACTCACTAATGACCAGAGAATCTGTGAGTTTTTACATGGAAAAGCAGCCTTTGACTGGGTTTTTTCCATTCTGACTGCATGGAACATTCTGCTTGCTGTCATATTTAGTATTTATAACACTAGAAATATCTGCATTATGCTTCTTACTTTTCTTCAAACTGTATTTAGTGAGAGATATGCACACACACACGATCGTACAGCCTCACAAAATCCATTTCAGCTTCCTACGTGAAACCGGAGCTACAAGAAAAGCAAATTTACAAATGGAAAATTAACCACTGACACATAGCTGGTGTTTGCCCGGCCTACTACACAACTTCTAGAGATCTTCCTAGGTCCTGCTGAGTGGCTTGTTAGGTGACTAAGCTTCCCGACGTGTGTGTGTTTATCTGCAGGCCGTGTACAGGAGAGGAGTATCTGAAGAGTCAAGGCATCGATGCCAGCACCTGGGGTCTGTGGCAGAACCACCTGGCTCTGGCCTGCATGACCCTGATCTTCCTCACCATTGCCTACCTCAAACTGCACTTCATGAAGAAGTTCTCCTAAAACCAGAGGGAAAGATGCAATTCCCACTGTTCAGTAGTTCACTGAACCGATTGTGGAACCGACTTGATTACTTTGAAGGGGGCATTTCTTTGTACTTTTATTACTACCCAAGTCAACAACGTGAATGCCATCCTTGTATAATAAATACTTACTGTTAATTTACTGTGCCAAAATGTCTAGCATGGATCACTCTTCTTTGCCACAAAAACGTGTACAACTGTTCATTTCAAGAGACTATTCAGTCTTTCCACATGTTCTAGCTATGATCTTGTCAAACACTATATCTAATATTTAGTTGTTTGACCTGAAATAAATAGTGGTTCCATACTTTAATTAGCACCTATCTTCACCAGAAAGCAAGTCAGTCTAAAGTCATGCTTATCAGGACACCAACAGAATTTTAGCTATTTATGTGGTCACAGGATATGTGAGACACAGACAAAATCCTTTCCTTCCCAGTGCCCTTTTCTATTTGGGAATCATTACTGCTCTAGAATGTACTTATTGATGCCATCAAGCCTTTCTTGCCTCACTCAAGTGGTAGAAGCACCGTGTTTTTAAATAAAGGTGTTCTTCCTGCAGTGCCAGTTCCCATAATCCTTATCCTGAAACTTGTATTTCCATAACTGCAATTCATCTTCACTGCCTAATCAGTGCTGCTATCATGAGTAGCTCTCAGTAATTTTTATGGTGACCAATTTCAAGTGCATGACTAAACAGGATGGTAGCACCTTTGTAAAAGTCCATAGATTGGAGCAATCCCTTCCTGGCAGGCCAACTTTTCCCTGGCCACGTGCAGCAAAGCTAGCTCACCTCATTTTTATCTGCAGAGTTATGCATAGTAAATGCATACAAATGCATAGAAGACAACTTGACAGCTCTTTCTGGGGTTCTTACTGCTGCTCCTGCAGTGTTTGCCCTGGCTTGCATAGGTCACAAAAAAATCTTACAGGACCTTACTTCTGTAAGATTTAGAAACATGGAATATCCTGAACTGGAAAGGACCCACAAGGATCATCGAGTCCAACTCCTGGTCCTGCACAGGACATCCCCAAGAGTCACACTTGAACTCTGTTGGGCTTGGTGCTGTGACCACTTCCCTGGGGAGCTGTTCCAATGCACAAACACCCTGTGGGGTGAAGAACCTTTTCCTATTATCCAGTCTAAAACTTCCCTGACAGAGCTTCAGGCCACTCAGAGCACAAAAAATGGGCAGAGAGTGTTCTGTACCTCTAACTTAGCCCTTGTTAAGCAGAAGCAAACAGTGAGGAGATAACAGTTATGTAGTTATTCCAAAAACATTGACAGGAACTCCAAAGAAATGAAAGTAGAATTTTTGCCTTCGAAAAAAAGAAAATCATCCCAGATTTTAAAATATAGAAATCTACAGCCAATCAAATTGCTGGTCCTTGTAATTTCAACAAGTTATAAACATGATCAGACAGACTGTGTTCCAGTTATAAAAGTAAATAATTTCAGTATATAGCAGTGGTTTCTGAGAAAGGAAATAATCAAAGTTGAGTTACTCACAGGCTTTTGAACAGGCTTTGACCCCATGTTGCACAGATAATACTTACCACAAAACTCCTAAACTTTTCTTGCTTTCTATTACTTATTTCAGCAGCTGGTCATCTAGAAAAACATATTTAAGTAAAAGAAATGTTTCTTCCAGTTCTGTCCAACACTTTACTCTGTAAACTTGTAAAATTCTATACCTCAGTTGCATGGGCAGAAATTACAGTAGTAGTAATGCCACACTTCCCTGTCACACTATAGGCTTTAAATTAAGATTTTATTTTTCTCTTTTTGTCCAGCACTGCACATTACATGTTCTAGTGAAAGGTGCCCCTGCCCATGGCAGGGGGTTGGCAATAGGCAAACTCTGAAGTCCCTTCTAACCCCAAAATTCTATTATTCTGTTATATATCTCGTTCTCCCCTTCAATTTGGGGCAGATTAGTACAACTACAACTACAATTTCTTGCACAAGCCAGGAGACACATCATTCCTACAACAACCTGAACATGTATTTTACAAGCAGTGCAAGCAGGGGGGAAAAGACAATTAAGAGAAGGGAAATGAGTCCAGAGTCCTCAAGGTTAAAAGGCTGTGAGTATGTGTGTGTGCCTGTATCTTGATACTATGGAGATCCTTAATAATTGCTTTGTAAAAGCTTGACCTTGTGACAAGAATTAGGCTCTCAAGAACCTCCTTCATAGCCCAAGGTTAATGGTCCTGACTTGTTTCTCACAATCCTTTTTATCTCCCCACCCTCATTAGAGGTGGATTTGTCCAACATTCTTTTAGGGGTCCGTGGCTCATTAAGCCTTCTTTTCATTAATCTGCTCCAAATTGGTCTTGAAATGATCCCTGCTTTCCACTGCAACTGGCTCAGGAGCTGAATTATCCCTGACTTTTGCTCCTTTCGGCAGGATCTTAGTGAGAAGGTACCAAGGATCAAGTAGTTTATGGTGTTAAGACTCATGCATTGCTCAGGCTTAAAAATGACAGAACTGCCTGATACCATTGTTTTCCTGAGATTTTTGTAATTTTCATTTAGCATTTAACAAGTGTGATGTACAGAACTTAATGATTCTGATTATATCAGTAACTCAACTGAAAATGTGTTTTCATGGATGAAAATTCCTTTTTAGTTTGCTTACACTTTGACACTAAGTGATTTAATCTGGACTCTTGGAAACTATAAAAGACTTACTTTTATTTAGGTTTTAGAGTATTCAATCTAGTTGATGTATTTCTTTACATCCTCCATCTGAACAACTTCAATTAAAATAAATCACAAGCTGAGGTTGATGCTTTCTAAAGAGTTATTAAACTCATTTAATTCAATTAGTTTGAACGGAACTTTATGATAATATTCTTAAATGATACCACTTTTAAATTTTATTGCTTTCAGTACAGAAACTAAAGTTTTGGTTTTTTTCTGTGTCAGTAACTGAAAGTAATTGCTTTTTCCTTGTAGTGAATATTCACAAAGGCAAGAACAGATAGCAAATGGGCTAGAGACATCTAATTCATTACCCAGTGGAAGTGGTCATGTCCTAGGAAGAATATTTAAAACTTACACAGGTTTGGAATGTCATAATTCAGAGGAGCCTGAAAAAGCCCTGTATTTATTTATTAAGAAGAAGAAAAAAGTAAACTGGAACCTAGTGCTAAGAGCAGCCTAAGGAGTAAAACTCTATTAATTGAGAGCTTTTAATATCCAGAAGGGCATTGACAAAACTGAAATCACTGGTATTCAGTCCTACTATTTTCTTCTTTGCACTAAAAATATTTAATAATTAATAATATCAGTTGTTGGAGCAAGTCTTCTGGAATAAAAAATTATTTCAGTGGATTGTGAAGCAGGTTAGTAAGCCTGGTGCCAGAGCAGTATGAATGGCTTTTGCTGAGGAGGCAGAAGGCTAGACAGTATGGAAAACACACATACACACAGCTGCATGATACAGGCTGCTGACTTTTCAAATGACACATGTAAAAGGCCCATGATACTGTCCTGGGGATTGTGACTTAGTTTTCACAGTGTACCAAGGGTTTATAAATTGTATTTGTTCAAAAGCAAAGATTTAACAAGCGTCTGAGTGCTTGCTGACCCTCTAGCTCTCACCATGGGCCTACATATTTTACTGATAAAGCCACTACCACTGGCTGGATGCTTTGGGCTGCATAAAAGCATCATCTTTCTTGACTTTTGTGCTGGTGGATAAAATAAGAACCTTGTAGGCTGCATACTAACCACCTGTGAGGAAAAAAACATTTGTTTCATTTGGGTTTTCCAGGAGGCATTGAGAAATGTGCTTGTAGAGTAGCACCCCACTAAAACAGAATAAATCAATACAAAGGTTCACAGTTCTGTGTTTTTCCAGTACAGAGCAAGAATTGAAACAAAACCAAACCAAACCATAAAAGACAGAAAGAATTTATGTTAGGTGGACACTGGAAGCTGTCAAACAATATTGATAATGAAAATATCCACTGAGAAGAAAGAAAGAAAACAATTAGGATAGCAACATCACAAAAAAAATTAAATTATATATGTCTATCTGTTCAGAGACGAAATAGTTATCAATTAAGAGCCAAAAAACCCAGTTTCTGTACATGTGAAAACAGATGCACAGACTCAATGGTAGGTTGGGCAGCCCAACCTACTAAAACAAGTAAACGCTGCTTCTCCAGTTTAATGTATTTTCTTCATATTTCAAGAGAAATAATCTTTGCCTCCATAAGGTTTTGGGTCATGTCTGATTCATTCTCAAGAAAGCTGCATTGCCAAAATCTTAAGTCACCCTGTGTCACGGTTTGGAATAGGAGGAAAATTTAGGGAAGTGATGCAGAAGCTTTTTGTGCAGAAGTCTGTTGAATTTCTCCAAGAGCACAGCACTGCAATTACTCCCTCACTCCCCAGTGTTATGAAATAGCCACCTGCCTTCTGATTACTTTTCCACTGTCCCAGTGGGCACAGAGGCAACTTCTGAGGATGTAATACGCTGCTCTGTAGGGCTGAGACAGGCACTGCAGGAAACATGCTGGACATTTTTTGTGGACACACACCAGCATCAGTGGAAGGTGAGTCAAATGTACCCAAATGACCCCTGTTATGGATTTGTAGTTACTTATTTTCAGTTTGCAAACTTTCTCTGAGATGCTGATAAATGCTACAAGTATTCAAACTTTTCTTTCCTGGATGAAAAATTTCAGTATTCTTTACTACAGTGCCAGGTTTTCTGAACACTGTATACAAATGATCTTCTAAAAGAGAACATCATAATTTAGAAAATTTAAGAAAAGGCGACTTCCTTTCTGATATTAATTGGTAAATACCATTTTTATAAGCATCAACTTGCTGCCTCTTGAACATTCAAGGAAGCAAGTGCTCACTTTGTGTTCAGCCATGTCTTTTTACACAAAAAGTACAAAGCAGGAGGAGAGAGTATCATCTAATAATGTAAGTAACAGCAATGCCAACAAAGACTCCTGCAGTTGCTCCCCTGGGTCTTCCACGTGACACACTTCTATTTGCTAAATAATCTGTGATTATGGTTCTTACAGACATGAACAAATTCTTTCAACCTAAGTATTTCCCTTCTTTTTTTTTAAAAAAAAAATCAGTTCTCCTGTCAGATAGACCTTTTTCGTCTTCCTGTGCCATA